GGGGGAGCGGGGCGGGACTGCGCGTGCGCGGGAGGGGCGGGGCCAATGGGCGGTGTGAGAAACGGGGGAGATGAGAGAATCGGGACGGAGGTGTGGGAATGGGGATTGTGAGAACGCATCGGGCGGCTGCGGGAATCGGGAGTGTGAGAAATGGGGAATTGAGAGAATCGGGATGGGGATGTGGGAATCGGAACTGTGAGAAATGTACTGGGGGGGCTGTGAGAACTGGGATGGGGGATATCGGAAACGGGGAGGTGAGAGAATTGGGACTGTGAGACAGTGGGAGACAGACACAACGGGGGTTTTATATGATACATAACGGGCGATTCTGAGGGTCGTATTGGGGGGCTGTGAGAATCATTACGGGGGCTTGAAAATTATAATGGGGGCCTGTCAGAGAACGGGTTGCACTGAAAGGGCGAGGGCGCGCTGGCACTGCTCAAAGGGGCTTCACGCAGCCAGGGGTCCGTGCTGACTTCCAAACCTGCAGCTCCCCCAAATCMCATAAGGATTCCGAAATCCTGAAGCACAAACTACCTCCATCCCCAGTTGAGCACACATCCAGCCCGTGGCCACTGGGCAGACAAGAAATTCAGGTGATGGCAGCGAGGGCCCCGCACTGCCCGTGGCTCTGGTGTCTGTAATGCCTCCAAAGGAACAGCATCAGGAACCCCGAGAGGGGCTGCAGGGGGGTCACCAAACCCTCTTGCCTGCTCCAAATGCTTACCTGCGCTGAAAACGGGGAGGATGTGTCACCTTGAGACACTTMCTCCACCAAATCAGGGTGGCTGTGTTGTCCTGAGGCACTTCCTCCAACAGAACAGGGAGRACCACGTTGGCCTGAAAACCACACACAATAAACTATGGGAAGGATTCATCTCCCACTCCCCATGGGAGTTGGCAGAGCWTGTTAATTAACATGGGGTGAAGAAATCACCCGTTGCCAGTGTCACCCTTCTCTAGTTGCCCAGCTGATTTGTCACCCCAGCTCTGCAACATAGAACTAGACATTTTTTAACCTAAAAGGTCTTCTTTTCCACCAAAACAATGCCCCTGCAGCAATAAAACCACCTATTTCTATGCCCCAGAAGGAAAATAACCAACCAGTTCCCACAGACTCTGAGCAGCTTGAAGTCAGGATAAAACACACACCCACAGCCACGAGTGTTGGTGTTTGGAGGCTTCACTGCTTTCACCACAGGGCAAACCCGGATTTCAGTATTTTCCAGGCCAAAGTCTCCTGATGACRTTTTGATATTGATCAAACCCACGTATTATTTGTCAGAGCTGCTTTTTACCACCTGGTCTGGCTGGACACCGTAACCTTCTGGCAACAAGTCCACCTCACCAACTGGTCAAAGTCACCGAGCTGTAGTGGCTTAACAAATATGCAAATCTGTTGATTTAATCAGATCTCTGACGCATGAGGACTTGATCTGCGGTGGCCCCGAGCCTTATCCTGGACTCCAGTTGCTGAGAGCCCATCCCWTAGCAGCACCATGCCTCAGTTTCCCCAGTGATGATGGGCTCTACTGATTAATTGAAATCCCCAACAACTCCTTGCACATAAACCATCTATTATTTAAAAGATGTGATGGAGCCACAGGTGCACAAAAAAATGCGCTGCCAACACACCTCACCGGCACTTCCAGTGTGGAATCAGGCTCAGCTTTCCATTTTAACATGTCTCTATCTTTAATGAGATGAAAATCTCGAACCAAAATTCCCCAAAAAGTCAAATAACTTTTCCATGACAAATTSTCCCTCTCTGACAGAGTGCACTTGCTACGACCACAATTCAATTGTTCTTCCTCCCTGCTGGGGCAGCACGTTGGAGGGACACGAGGAAACCACAGCAGTTCCCAGGTCCTTCCAGGGAATCTCACACCGAGTCACTGCTGTCACTCGGCCATCTCACAGGACATGCAGGGGCTGGAAGCTGTCGCAAACAAAGCCATCAACTCTGTTGACAGGAGAGAGTTGAGRCAAGTGCCAGGAGGGTTCCATTTACACAACAGCCAGCTGCAAGAGGAGCACAAAGCCCGGCTCGTGACGCAAAACAAAGCTCTGGACCATCCCAATACTCTTCAAATGCTTTGCAGCRAAACGGTTCCCAGTTGCCACTGCACCAGTGATACTGCTGTAACCAGATCCCTCCAGCTCTGTCRAAGATTTTAAAGAACACAGACTCAGGCTGGAGACCAGAGTGGCTATAACCCTCTCCCTCAGCAGACCAGAAGAGCTGTGATGAGGACCAACACCATCCTTGTGTCTGCAGAAGGGACACAYCTTTGTGCCAGCCTGATGTCCAGCCATGAGTCACAGTGTGATGAGCACCCAGGGGCAAGACACAGATGCACTTCCCTGTGTGCTGCCCTTCCCAGAGGCCAAACAGCCAAGGATGAGGGGACTTGAGCTGGTGTCCATGACCTGATCACCCTCAGCATTTGGGATACACACTGCAAGAAACAATTTAAATTAATTCTGGGAGGGCATAGATGTCCTCCAGACATCTCAGCCAACCCCACAGTTAAAACATTTATGTGTTTCTTATCAGCACTTGGAGAGGATTAAAGTGCCTGACCATTTAGTGAGAGAGCAGGTTATAAACCTATCTCAGCTTGAACACCATGTTCATGTCAGGAAAGGCAAAGCAAGAACAGGACAGATCAAAAGAGAGCCATTAAAGGCGTGAGAAAATGGGGCTGCCATATAAGGAGCTAATAAAGTTAACAGCTCTCCAGTTTGGATGGGAAAAAAAAGAGGCAGGAGAAGCAGAAAACATCCTTGGGGTCCACACMGCAGCCTCTCTTTGAGGAAACACCAATAAATAGAAGGGGGCAGGCACAATGCTTCACAAGGCAGGTTTATCCATTTTGAACACGGCGCCTTTCCCAAGCGGTGGAGCTGCCACGCATTGCYGGGACCGCTCGCCAAACATTACAAAAAGCAAAGATTAGATACTGAACAAGGACAGCAACCGTGGCTGTGTTTACTCAGACTGTAATTTCCTACCCTTAGGTCTAGCTCAGCAACAGCTCTCCGTGTCGTGCTGGGACGGGGGACATTGCACCTCTCCCTGGCTGCACCAACCGGGATTTGCAGGGATCCGAGCGGGCACATGAGGATTATCCCCACCACTGTCCAGCACACAGCCGGTTTCTTTGCTTTTTGTAGAAATGCAGGAGGTTTCCCAGCAAAGAGTTTCTTTGTTTGAACCAGCCAGCTCCAGCCACCATCTTGTCAGGGTAAAATGTATTTATGTGCCTTCCCTGTTCATTGACTGTATTTATTAAAAGAACACTATGGCAGATGAATATCAAATTCCCAGCTAGGTTTTTATCTCTTTTTAAAGTGAGCCTGAATTATTGGCCTAATTTTATTGCTTACCCATTCTGTTTTATGCTTGTTTTTCCAAGAAGGAATTGGTGCTGTTTGATATTTGGGCTCATTTGTTGCCAAGACAGAGGCTATCAGCTKAGGGGCTGATAACACTTGGAGCACGGAGCCGGGTTCTGGAGCCTTAAGCAACATAAAGGATTTATATTAATAAAGCTCTTTATTTCAGCTCTTTTTGAGGGTTAGTGCTCCAAATCTTCCTGATGAGATGACTGTGCAGAAAACTCCCTTCAYGTTTTTGAAACACAGTATTTAGTAATTTATTTTCCAGCGCTCTTCCCTGTGGTGTTCTTATCCACAGTGCCAGGGATGGGAGCTGCCACAAAATTCCACCATTTTAGCCAGTGTTTTAGTACTAGTCACATCCCACAATCCAGTATAGAGGGGCCCTTGGACTTTGATTGACATTGAAACGATTTTTATCGCTATATAAAAGCACATTTCTGTTTTTAAAATTCCTTGCTACAAAAACAATAGAGGTTTCTCCAGCAGCAGAGCCCAATGTGATAGCAGAGCCACACAACCAAAATCCATGTGCCAACACAGAACTGCAAAGGAGCTGACTCTTGCTTATGGTGTGRTAGATATATTAGAAATAACACTTATTTTTTATCCTGTTGTTGGGAAAAAAAACAGGAATATCACAGTGCCAGCTTCTGCCCTGCTTGCCCTTGCCTCCAAACTCGTGTACAACCACGTGTAGTTGAGAGCTGTGTCTGCTCACCTCACAAGGGTTCTCCCTAAACAGAGTTTTCATCACTAGACAGAACTATGGCCTTCCAGGCTACAAGATTACAGCTTAAGGGAAAATGAAAGCAAACAAACATTAAAAAGCCAGTTTCATGTGATATGATATCCAAACAGGACAACTGCAAAGGATATAAATCCTGTAGGACTGGTTAGATCACCAAATCCTATACTTCGCCATTTCTAACACCTAATYGTTGTAGTAACTCTAAATCCAGATGTGATTTCTTCCTGTGTGCA